ACGAAACAGCGTGGGCGCCAGGAGCATGCGCTGTCTGGTTCCATACCCTTCCTAACGAAACAGCGTGGGCGCCAGGAGCATGCGCTGTCTGGTTCTCCTTGTTATAAAAAGCAGCGGTTGGGCGTAATCACCTGCACAGATTAATTCATTAGGGGAACAAGGATATTTTTAAGAACATTGATCTTGTGTGGAGTTAACGATTCTCAAGCCAGTTCATCTTCCTTTCTATCCTGCTTTGCTTATTGATTAATGAAGATGCATTGACCCACTAATTTTTATTTATCTATTTATGTATTTTTAAGGAAGAGTATCCACCAAAGTGTTTTTCACTCTGCTTGCCCTGCTTGGGCTCTTCATTTGTTTCTTTGGACACAGATTCTGGAAAACAGGTACCATTTCCCACATAGACCCTCATTCTGCTACTCTGAGGCTAGCTTGGACTACATAAAGGAGACTCTTTCTCAAAGAAGAGAGAAACATGATAAATGAACCATGAAATTAGCAATTAAATTATGTAAGAGGTACAGCACAGGCCAATGCAGCTAGTGTCTGATGATGCAGCCTAGAACATTGATTATCCATTTAATAATAAAACTGTTATATACTGACTTTTAACGTTTCCCTGCCTTCCCGGTAACTGTTCTTCTGGGAACGCCCTGGTGTATGAGTTCTAGATGCTTGCGCACAGACTTGTAGATTAGATGCCTCCATTGTGCTGTGCAGAAGCCTGACGTACGTTTTCACTTATTTCCCATTTCCTGATGGTTCCTGCTAGAATTATTCTTCATTGGCTTCATCTTCCTGGGGTTCTTCTTTTACATCCTCATCACCAGACTGACGCCCCTGGAGTATGACGGTGAGTCCCGGTGACGGTTTAGCTGGATGTGCAGACAGGAAGCTGCTGGGTTTGCATCCACTGTGCCTCCCCTCTTTACCCGGGGCTGTGTGTCATAAGCATCAAGTGTGGGATGAGGGGCAACCTGTGCCTGGAACAGCACTCCACCTCCACATCCCGGCTTGCTCTCCTGGGTACAACAAAGAATTAGTGCCAGGGCACACGCCTGTAATCCCAGCCCTCAGGAAGCTGAGGCAGGAGGATTAAATATCTGAGAGTAGCCTGTGCTACATAGTGAAACCTGTCTCAAAAAACAAACAAGCCAGGGCGGTGGTGGTGCACAGCTTTAATTCCAGCATTCGGGAGGCAGAGGCAGTGGGATGTCTGAGCTCCAGTCCAACCTGGTCTACAGAGCAAGTTCCAGGACAGCCAGGACTATACAGAAAAACTTTGTCTTAGAAAAACAAACCAACAAAAATCAAACAAACAAAAACAAACAAGAGGTACAAGCCAGGAGTGGTCCACCAGTAAAGCTTTTGCCTGGCCAGGTAAGATCCCAGGGCCACAGAAACAGAAAACCTGGGTGGTGGCATGGACCTGTTACTCCAGTAGGTGTCAGGCGGAGGCAGAAGGGTCAGCATGAGTTTAAGGCCAGCCTGGGCTACACAGTAAGGCTCCAGATAGCACACATTCCCCACTGGGGGAAAATACCTCAACCATTTCATTATTTCTTGAGACTGTGCCTGATGTAACTCAAGCTGGCCCCGAACTCACTGCGTAGCAGAGGATACCATGAAGTTCTGATCCTTCAGATTAGTGCTGGGGATGGAACCCAGAGCTTCACGCCAGGAAACACTCGACCCACGGAGCCACATCCTCAGCCTCCCCAATCACGCCGTTCCCCCCAACCCCCATTTAAGGTTCTTCCTGACCAAGCTGGTCTGTCCCCAGCCCTGGGGTGACAGTGTCTTTAAGGACATGTAGGCTGAAGTTGAGGTTGAAGCCCACTGATCCACCTTCCTGCGCTTCTCCCATGTGCAGTGCGTCTGGTCCTCACGGCTGTAGCCGGCAGCGTCGGTGGGATCTTCCTGGTAGCCTCATGGTGGCGGTTTGGAACCCTCATGCTCTGCATGCTGTGCGTTGGACTCGTGTTGGGCTTCCTCGTCTCTTCTGGGACTTTCTTCACTCCTCTGGGTAGGAGACAATGACTCTCATGCTGGCGGTGTGTGTGTGGTGTGTGTGTGTGTGTGTGAGTACACCACGCGCGCACTGAAGCTGGTCAGGAATCAGGATCCTGGAGCGTGTTGCGTATCTCTGCCTTCTGAAGAGCCGTGGCACGTGCTCTGATGGCCTGGCACTTTTAGAGAAGGTCAGCTCAGATTGAGTCCTTTTCTCAGAGCACCTTCCTAGGGGTCTTAGAATGTCCTCAGGGATGGCTTTCTGTGGACTTCTGTTACAGGCAGGGTAGGTAAACGGGGCTCGTAGGGCAGAACAGAGGTTTTATTTTTATTTTATTTTTAAATTTTCTTTCAGTTCCATTTATTTTGACACAAGGTCTTCCTTTGCAGTCCAGGCTGGCTTCAACTCATGCCAGTCTTTTTGTTTCTGTTTCCTGACCTGACCTGAGATTACAGGTGTGAGCCAGTGACCTTTTGAACATTTTAAATCCTCAGCGTCATGCCAAGTATGTCTCACCGATGACCAGTGCTGCTCTGATGGCACTGACTTGAAACCTGGTGCTGTGACCAGTGTTCTCTTGATCGGTCTCCACTCCGCCCTTTGTCATTTCCACCTCCAAGTGCTCCTCAGGCAGCTCTAGGCTGGTTCTGCAGGGTTCCTTCTATTTGAAGTTCTTGTTTTGAGTTATTTATTTCCATCAGTTATAAAAATCTGATGGGGGCTGGAGAGAGAGCTCAGCAGTTTGTAGCACTAGCTGCTCTTGCAGAAGACCCAATTTTTAAAAATTGTTTACTTTTTTTTCCCTTTGGGGACAGGATCTCACTATGTAGTTCTGACTAGCTTGGGACTCATTGTGTAGACCACATTGGCCTTGAATTCACAGAGATTCTCCTGCCTCTGCCTCCTGAATGCACCACCCCACCTGCTTCGGCCTCCCAAGTGTCTGGGAGTGCAGGTGTCTGTCACCACATGCAGATTTTTTTTTTTTTTTTTTGGTTTTTCGAGACAGGGTTTCTCTGTGTAGCTTTACGCCTTTCCTGGAACTCACTTGGTAGCCCAGGCTGGCCTCGAACTCAGAGATCTGCCTGCCTCTGCCTCCCGAGTGCTGGGATTAAAGGCGTGCACCACCACTGCCCGGCCACATGCAGATTTTTTAACCTAGTCTGTAGAAGAGGACCCCCGTAGCTCTGGGTCACCCAAGGTGTGTTGCCCACTGGATTGTAGCAGCAGGAAGTGCATGGCGCACCCTGGCGGCCCACACCCTGGCGGCCCATGCCAGCTTGTCCTGGAGTTCTTCATGAGCAGGAATTGGCTTAGTGGTTCAAATCTTGACTTTGAATGTTGTCTGTGGGGATCCCCCCCCCCCCCATTACAGATCATGAAAGCTTGGAGCTGGAAGAGAGACAAGGAGACTTCACACAGTATAATCCAATCTTCCCACTTTGGGGGTAGGAATCAGACCCGAGCCACAGGGCTGAGGAAGAGGGCAGGGGGTGTGTATGGCAGCCTCTTCATGTCATCCTCTAGGTCCCCTCCACTTTCTAGAGCATGCCCTTAAAAAGAGACTAAGTCAGCTGGGTGAGGCTGCACACACCTTTAATTGCAGCACCGGGGAGGCGGAGACAGGTGGCGATGGATCTCGATGAGTTCAAGGCCAGCCTGGTCTACAGAGAGAGTTCCAGGACAGCCAGAACTGTTACACAGAGAAACCCTGTCTACAAACAAACAAACCAACAGACACAGGGTGTGTGTTGATTACACTGACCATTAAAGAAAACCAGTGTGCTGGCTGCCAGCGCATTCCCTGGCTGGCACTTTAAGCCTTGTGTTTGTGAACAGACACCGAGACAGTGAAATTTAATTTGTGAACATCTTGTTTATTCTTGATTTCTATGTTTTTCCAGGAAATCTGAAGGTTTTTCATGACGATGGAGTGTACTGGGTGTCGTTCTCTTGCATAGCTCTGCTCATTCCCGTCATCTTCATGGGCTGCCTAAGAATAGTGAGTGTTCATTACAGTTGGCTTCACTCATTAACATGCCCTTCCAGCCTGCAGGGAATCACTCATTGAATCCTTTTTGTGTTGTATTGGCTAGGGAGGGGTGTAGCTGGAGAGTTTTCTCTCCGGGTTCCGCCAAGCCTCAGCAGTCCGACAGCCCACTTATAAAATAAACACACAGATGCTTATATTATTTAAACTGTTTGTCCTAATGGCTCAGGCTTCTAGCTATCCCATTCTTTTTTTCTTTTTTCTTTTTTCTTTTTTTTTTTTTTTTTTTTTTGGTTTTTCCAGACATGGTTTCTCTGTGGAGCTTTGTGCTTTTCCTGGATCTCTCTCTGTAGACCAGGCTGGCCTTGACATCTTAAATTAACCCACTTCCATAAATCTATACCTTGCCACATGGCTCATGGCTTACCGCCATCTTCACATGCTGCTTGTCATGGCGGCAGTGTCTCCCTCCGCCTTCCTGTTCTCTCAATTCTTCTCTCTGTTAGTCCCGCCTATACTTCCTGCCTGGCTACTGGCCAATCAGTGTTTTATTTATTGACCAATCAGAGCAACACATTTGACATACAGACCATCCCACAGCAGAGGGATCTGTGGTTATCTGAGCTGAGGAAGTTCTGTGATTATCATGTGTGTTTGTCCTTGTTTTTCTTCAAACAGAGTGGTTATGTAAGGGTCTCAAGTCAGGTTTGCTTTCTCCACCAACTAAAGAATTAAAAGGCAGGAAAGAAGTCACACTCTTAGCAAGTTTTATTAAAAGCGAAAGTGCTGGTATACATAACCCATACACACCCCATACACACATCTTACACACAGAGACCACACTAATGTGGAGGGGATGAACCCCTCCCCCCACCCCCACATATAGACACCATACTAGTACAGAGAGGACACACACCTCAAACACACACCATACCAGTATGGAGGGGACCCCTCCCCATCACACTCAGATACTAATGTGGAGGGGACATATACATACCATACACAAAAACAGACACACCAGTATGGAGGGGACACACACCCCATACACACACAGACAACACACCAGTGTGGAAGGGAAACTGAACCCATCTCAACCCCCAAGGGCTGGGACTGCGAACTGTCTCTGGTGGCCTGGGGTGGGCTCCCTCCTCTGACTCTGGACTGGTCCACTTAAACAAAGAGAGGGAACTGACAGGCCTGACGCCAAGTAAGCGTGTTCTGGACCAGCTTTAACGGACCTGACCAGCGTGGACTGGTCAGCCAGAGGGCTGTCAGGTAGATAAGCCTACTGGCCTGTTTCCTGTAAGAGGATAAAGAATCAGGAAGGATGCCATCTTCATCATCTGTCTGTCTGTCTGGCATCTGTGCAGCCCCTTGTCCCTCAGAGTATCAGTGCCTCCCAGCACCGGGAGCAGAGCCAACCACCTTCCTCCACTGCAGCAGCCCAAAGAGGCTTCAGCTTTAGCCGCCTCTGCGGAGTGGGTCCCTGATTAGATTTTATTGTGGAAGTTCTTTGGGGAAGATTGTTTTCTACAGTCTAGCTGTGCATTGCTCGGTGGCAGCGCTACATTCTAAGGACATTGTTAGACAATTTTGCCATGGTTCAGACATCAAAGTGTACTGCACAGACCTGGAGGGCCAGTCACCATGTAGCAGAATCCTACGGAATGGTGTCATTGGCTGTATCAATGTACAGTGTTTAACTTTTTACCTAGCATATGCCTGGTGCCCACAGACACTAGAAGAGGCTGTCAGATCTGAATATCCACTTGGGTGCCAGGTCCCCTGCAAGAGCAGCAAGTGTTCTGAACCACTGAGCCAACCCTATTTTGATAGCCTAAACAGTGTGGTAAGAACCCACTATGGGGGGTGGGAGGAACCAGGAGGAGTTAGGGGACAGGAAAGAATTTGATAAAAATAACGCTGTCGGAACTCTCAAAGAATAAAACCCATTCTGGACATTAAATGTGGGGATTACCTTGTTTTCTTACTACCGCTTGTCATTGCTAAGTCTTGGGTCCTTTCCCTAACACCAGGCGGTGGTGAGAACTGAGGCTGGCCTTGCTGTGTGGGTGACACCTGTCTCCTCTGCTCTTCCACAGCTGAACATCCTGGCTTGTGGCGTTGTGGGCTCCTACTCCGTGGTGTTGGCTGTTGACAGTTACGTGTCCACGAGCCTCTCCTACATCACTCTGAACGTCCTCAGGAGAGCTCTCAACACGGGTTTCCGAGGGGCTTTCATCAGAGTGCCCTTCCAGACTAACGGTACGATTCTTGAATCCAGAAATCAGAGTGATGTTCGAATAGGTGCGCCGACTACTAACCCACCCTACCAGGAGCACGCAGGCATCACCTGGGGCTGAAAGATGAAACACAGTTCAGATGCCATGAGAGTGCTCTGCCAATAAGCAAAGGATTCAAATGTCTCTTTCTAAACTCTAAGCGGACTTTGTTAGCTGGCAGACCTGTCCATTCTCAGATGGGGAAGCTTTTGACAGCCATGGGTGGGGCAGATGAGGAATGAGAAAGGTATTCTAATTTAATTTAAAATGCATTCCTTCATTTCCTTAATGAAGAGTCTGTTTATTTTCAATTAGTGATCATGTAGTTGCCTTAATTAGACAATTTTGTCCATTACTGACTTTCTATCTTAAGTTGTCTTTGAGACAGGGTCTTACTCTGTAGCCGAGGCTAGCCTCAAACTCACCGGGATCACCCAGTCTCAAGCCTTCCAGAGATGATGACAGGTGTGAACCCCAACACACGGTGGCCTTTGTTACCTTTTAAAGGAAACAAATGATGCACTACACATTTACAGAGTTTTCAAGTTTTGTTGATTTCAGGAAAGCGTGTCTTAGAACTGGGGGCTTAGGAATGGCACAGCTGGGCCTGTTGGGAATGTTTAGGGCAAATCTTTGCCTCTACTTAGCAACAATCCAGATCTTCCCCTTTGGAGGAGAGGTCAGCAGTGGAGACCTTGTGTTCAGAGAATTTTCTCCCTGGGAGTAGAGGTATCTACCCCTGTCCTTCTAAGTTCTCCACTACAAGGATGGTTCCACCAGAGTTCCCTGTGGAGACCCAGTGAGTTTTTGGGCTTAATTACAGAGCCTGGGCAAAAGGTTGTCTTCAAGAGCTTGGGTGACTCCAAGGCAGCCACTCTGGAAAGTCTGCACCCAGCACACGCAATGGCGTTCCCATAGCTACGTCTTTGCTGGATGCTCATTGGAATCTGGGCATCATCTCACGCCATCCTGTGTTCCCTGTATGAGCAGTCTGCCCCCACCCTGCCCCCTGGAGTGGACTGGTGTATGTGGAGAGTGACTGGGGCAGCCATGTCTGTGGGCACTGCACACTCATGTAAGGCTGGAGCTCCAGGGAGCAAGACAGCCGACTTTTCACCACTTGCTTTGACTTTCTGGATGCCTGTAGTAGAAGTCTGTGGTATCTCCTCACACCTTACTTGTAAGTGCAGAAATACATGTTTGGACACAAGTCCAACCCTGGAAAGGAAGACATGGGTTTGGCCTGTTGCACATTAGAAGTTAAACAATCAGAGGCAGGTGTCGTGGTGTACAGCTACACTCCCAGCGTTCAGCGACCGAAGCAGGGTTGCCATGAATTTGAGGCTAACACAGGCTCATAGTGAGTTCTAAGTCAGGCTACAGAATTCCATCCTAAAAACAAAATGAAAAAGAAAAAGGAATAAAAGGGGTGAGGAAAGATAAAAAGAGAAGGACTCGGGGCCAGGGAGATTGCTCAGTGGGTCAGGTGCTTGCTCCGTACCATGAAGACCTGAGTTCAGGTCCCGGAACCCAGGTGAAAGGCAGGCTGGACAGTGCATGTGTAACTCCAGTGGGTGGGCTTGCTCTGTCGGATCAGGGTTAATGGGAGAGCTGTCCAGACATGACGGTGCCAAGCCATAAAGACAGACACCTGCTGCCTACTCAAGCTCCCACACAGGACTCTGCGTACACTGAAAATATACAATTTTGGGGGGAGGGGCTGAGACAGGGTTTCTCTGTGTAGCCCTGGCTGTCCTGGAACTCACTCTGTGGTCCAGGCTGGCCTCGAACTCACAGAGATTCCCCTGCCTCTGCCTCCCGAGTGCTGGGATTAAAGGTGTGCGCCACCACCTGACTACAGTTGTGGTTTTTTTTTTTTTTTTAAAATAAAAATATCTGGACTTGGTGGCTCATGTCTATAATCTTGGTATTCAAGAGGGCAAGGCAGGAGGATTACCAAAGTTTAAGTATAGTCTGAGCTATAGATTGAGACACCGTCTCCATGAGCACATGAGTACAAAGTTACTTCTTTCCTTTAGACTTCCTGGTCCTGGCCGTGTGGGGGATGCTGGCTGTCAGTGGAATTACACTGCAGATCCGAAGAGAAAGGGGACAGCCACCTTTCCCACCCCATCCCTACAAGCTGTGGAAGCAAGAGAGAGAACGCAGAGTGACTAACATTCTGGACCCCAGCCACCATATCCCTCCGCTGAGAGAGAGGCTGTATGGCCGGTTCACTCAGATTAAAGAGCTCTTTCAGAAGGAACAGCCGGCCGGAGAGCGGACACCCCTGCTTCTGTAGACGGCTGAGTGGGCCTCACCCTGGGGTTCTCGTCTACGCTGCCCAGCTGTCCAGGTCCAGTGCGGGATCAGCTACGGTCAGTGATAGGGTGGGTGCCCGTTGACAGTAGTGAGTTAGAACATTCTAGGTGACGGTGAGAAAAAACCACCAAACAGCTGGTTGTAGAATGCTTTGCCTCGTTTCCCACAATCCTGAGAAGTTACCCTTGGTTTATAAATACGATTGATGTGTTTTATAAAATATACCAAAAAATAAAAGTGTCAGTTCTCCTTCAAGCCCTGGGGTTTTCTCTTACAGCTAGCTTCTCGAGCAGTTTGACTCGTCTGAACCTGTGGAGGGAAAGGCTGGCACTGGGTTTTTGTTTGCTTCATGTGTAGAGGTTTAGGAATTTGATCCTAGGTCCCTGAATGGTAAGATTAAGGGAAAAACAATCCCTCTTTCCATTAAAAGCAGTCTGATTATTTGGCTGCATCTTATGTTTTAAATCAGGAACCCTTCATTTCTTTCAATGTTTAAACTTTTTTTTTTTTAAAGCTGTGGGAAACTATCCTAAAATGTATCAACATAAATTCCCTGTTGTTTTGCCTCTGAGGCTTAAAGTGGTAATTTATATAACTAAATTATTTCTGTAATTGAAAATAGCTCAGTTTATTAAAGATAATAGAACTTTTGTATGGCTAAGTTATTTTATTGTATCAGCCCAGATGGTGGCCTGTTCTTGTTTGGGGCCATTTAAGGCAGTGTTGAGGGCTGCATTGGATGAAGAGTGGACTGTATTTTGTCAGGACGAGTGGTTGCTGCCTTCCTCTGAGTGTCACTAACAGGAGACCTTTTTACCTCCTGGTGCTGTGGGAAGCAGCTGTATCAGCGCCCTGTGGGGTCACTGCTAATGACTGCTACTGTGTTCTGGAGGCCGGTGCTCTGCAGCGCAGGGGGAGCCAGCTAGGGTGGAGACACTGGGGAGCTGCTCCTTAGGGCGCCTGGGTTCTGTATAGAGGGCCTCTCTCAATGCCCAGGGCCCATACCTCCCTCTCGGGGTTGTGGGCTGAGCCGGCTTCCTGGCGTGTGGCAGCTGGTTGTGGCTGTGGTGTGCTTCACCAGTGGTTAGTGAAGCGTCCACCGAATCCTCGATGATGCTTTTTAGTCTCTTCACAGGTAGTGGGAGGAGTCTTCCGTTTGGGTTTTGAAATGTTTTGAAGATAAAACATAATGAAAAAATGACAAAATGAACCACTTTTGTTTCAACAAATTCTTATTCTGTTATTAGTGTCTAGCTTCACAATGAACTTGTTTTTTGAAAAAGACTTTACTGTAGTGACTCTGGCTTCTGTCACACGCCTGTATTTGAGTGGTGTGGAATGTTGGAGAGCAGTTCTCTGTACTGTCGGAACACACTGCCAGTCAGAGCTGTAAAAGGCAGAATATGCTTTCTTGGAGGGAGAATACAAGTTATTTTTGAATTTTCATAATAACTTTTATTAATTCCACTTGTATAACTTTTGTAATAAATACCTATTTTGAAAAATGCTTAGGCCTCCTTATTGTGATGTCTCTAGAAGTTTATAGTGGCCATGTTTGTACTTTTACAAACAAAATTATTTAATCTGGAAAATAGTTGTTTAAAAAAACTTAGCTTAAGGCTAATAGGAAGTAAAGGATATACAGGGTGATATATTACAGTTTACATATATATGTATATCTAAATTTATTAAAAAAAAATTCTTTTTCCGAGACAGGGTTTCTCTGTGTAGTTTTGGTGCCTGTCCTGGATCTCGCTCTGTAGACCAGGCTGGCCTCTAACTCACAGAGATCACCTGGCTCTCCCTCCCTAGTGCTGGGACTAAAGGCATGTGCCACCACCACCCGACTAATTTAAAAGAATTTTTTTTGTTTTTTTCGAGACGGTTTCTCTGTGTAGCTTTGTGCCTTTCCTGGAACTCGCTTTGGAGACCAGGTTGGCCTTGAACTCACAGAGGTCCACCTGCCTCTGCCTCCCGAGTTTTAAAATATTTAATGATTTATTTATATACATTAGTGTTTTGCTTGCATGTGTGAGGGTGTTGGACCCTGGAACTAGAGCTACAGAGAGTTGTGAGCTGTTATGTGGGTGCTAGGAAATGAACCTGGGACCTCTGGAAAAGCTGAGCCATTTCTCCAGCCCCTACATTTAATTCTTGAGACAGGATCTCATGTGGCCTATGCTGGCCTTGAGCTTGCTATGTAGCTGAGGATAACCAAGTTGTCTGAGACGAGCATGGCCTAAGGCAGCGTAGGTCATGGTGGAAAGGCTCCAGATGCTCACAGCCTGATTAGGGTGTGGGGATTTGCATTTGTGCACTTACTCCCTTTGTCTTGACAGCAGGAGTTAACACAAACCCCTTTCAGAGCAGGCTGGTATTTGAGAAACTGTTGGAGTAACACTGAGCTTTTGGCCACAGATTCCTGCTAAAATCTGAGAGTGGGAACTGACAGGGCTCTTGTATTTTAAAGACATCACAAACAGAAAGTGCTAAGTCTGTGGTCATAATCTCTGTAGGTAGCCTGGATCCCAACCAAGCAGCTCGATTTCCTGCAGTTGTACTGAAAGTCCCCATGCAGTCTTCTGGCCCCAGCTTCTTGAGAAGAATGGCCTGTGTTTCAGCAGTTAGCAATTCTATCCTGAATACAGGGTTAACTGCTGGTACTTGAGGAAGGCTTCGGTTGTTTGAAAATGTGGGCTAGTTGATTTATTTTGCTGAAATGGAGAATGTCAGGGATGAGGTTGTATGTTATTATCCACTATACCGTGGTCTGCACTAGGGCTAGCACCGATGTTCTGAATATACAGCCAGCAGGATTTGCTAACAAATTCAATGCAAGATATAAAGAAACTACGGTCTAAGATGCCACCATCTTTGTACCCTGCAGCCACCCTTGTAAGGATGGGGAAGACTGAAGAAGTTTGGGGAGGAAGAGTTTGGCTTTGGGCAGTCTCAGTCTGAAATGTCTCTGTGGCAGAGATGGATTAGTGTGGAAGGTGTGAGAGGTCCAAGTGGGAGCTGTTAAGCCTGAGAATCCCAGGGCATCAAAATACTCCTTAGGTTATAGATGGGTGAGGCCTCAGAAGAATTGAGGGGAGTTACAGCACCGTACAAGAATAAGGCCTTCATGTGCATGAACACATCTCCCTCATACACTGGTACAAATAGTCCCCCACCCCACACACACAAAGAACAGGCCTAAGGACCGAGGATACAGCTTAGTGATAGAGCATTTACATACAGAGCTCTGGGGTCAAACCCCCGCACCGCCTACCCCTCCTGCAAAGAGAATAAGCTTCAAAAAAAATTGTGTAAGAAATGTTAAGCTTTGTTTTAAAATTAAACCTGAGACCATACCAGTTTTAAACACTCATCTTTATTGATAAAATAGGCTCCTCTTCAGCACACACTCTTAGATGTAAGCTTAAAGTTGGGTTTTTTTTGTGGGGGAGGGGGCAGTGGAAAACTTGGTAGAAACAAAGCAAATGTCCTTCAGGACTCACAACCGTAAAATTATATCCAAGAAGACAAAGGATAAATATTTTTTTTATAAAAATAATTACTTCTCAAGTAACATTTCACAATAGAGCTGCTCAACTCACTGCCTCCAGCTCACCTCAACTGTGCAGGCTTTCTTCTCTTAAAGTTCTGGCCCGGGATAAGACTATGTGGACGGATGTACCATTAAATTAAGGGTACTCTCCAAAAACCAATAGAAAAATCTTAAAAATAAATTCACTGATGTATAAATTAGTAAGGCCCCTGCATGAGAACTGTTTAACTGTTTGGAGCACTGGCCCTTCCCTAACAGCCCTGTGACCCCACTCACCTCAAACAAGACTGAAAATTTCTCAAGTGAAAAGTCCTTTGAATTTTGCCAATATATGAGATTACATGTAAAATTTTAATGCAAAGTAATACTTACTTAAGTGATATACTTTAAAGTAGAACTTTCTATTTGTGCTAATTTTAGTATGTACTTGACACACAAGTATAAATACATTTTTAACCACATTTCACAATCTTTTATCCTTTTATTCTGATCTCTACACAGTAAGAACAGCTTGGGTTTCAAGCACACGTCTGTGTCTTCACATGTTGTAAATGTATCCTAAGTGCAAAGGAGAATGTCCATGGGTCTGCACTTTGTTCTCATTTTCTGAGTCACAGGTTGTAGGGAAAACCTCACAGGTTCTAAGAACAAAATGGAGCTTAGACTCAGACCCAGAACTTTGTTTTTGGAACTTGCATCTACTTTTTAAGTATTTGAAGGGTAATTCATTAAATACAAACAAAGGAATTCCAAATTTACTTGGAGACAACCATACCCATCTTGTTACATTACATATGTTAACTGTCCACTAGTGAGCTGTCTCATATCCTTAAACATCAAGTACAGAGGAGGAAAACCAGTTTCATTGTTAACCAAGAACCAAAACATTCTTTCAGAGTAGTTTAACCTACTAAATGTGTCTATATATGGCTGTCTTTCTTAGAAAGTAATATTCCTTCTCTTTCCTTCCTGAGATGGTACTGCATACACTCAAGCAAGTCATGGATAACTGCTAGCTAAAAGTTATGGGAACTAGGTATACTGTAAGTTATGCCTTCAGTGTATGGGGTGAGCAACACATCCCTAGAGCCTTTGACAGAGACTGAACAATGAGAAGGTTGACAGATAACCACGAAGGCAGAAGTCTCGTGGTCCATAACCTGTTCTGACTCAACAGGAAGGACAGACTTAGAACAAAGTCTCCCATTCAGAAAACCACAGCGAAACTTACAATGTAAAGCTGGGATAATTTAGGATTTCCAAACGTTTATTGGGAGTATTCAGGGTGGCCCATGTATCACCCAGGAAGCCAACAGCACTTCTGAAACTGCAGTGCTCAGTAGCACTGTGAAGACTCACTGTTCACTCCGCGGCTCAGCTTCTCCTTTCTTTTATATTTTGCAATCTAGTTTACAACCACTGATTATACATTCTTCTGTTCTGTCTCTTTGCCAGTGTACTTGGACATACTATAGAGGAAAAAAGGCTGATTGAAGTTGGGGTTATGTTCACTCATCCACTCACTTCTGGGCCCATCCTAGTGACCACGCAGAAAGCCACTCAGCTCTTCCTCAGACTCAGGTCACTGTTAGTCACTAATGCAGATAAAGAGGTACTCTCAGATGCATCGTCCTTTCGCAGGTTCAGAAAGGACTCTCGAGTTATCTGAAGGATCTCTCGCAAGCCTTTGTTTTCTTGCTATAAGGAGACAAGCAAAACTGATGATAGCTTACGCCCTATGCAAATGGGAAAGCACTACATGTGCAGAGACAGAAACCGCTTTTTTGGCCACCTGTAAGATTGCTACAAGGTACCTCTAAGAGGAAAATGTATTTTAAAACAGACATATGAAGGTGTGGCATGAGAAGCAGGCTCTGGGACCACATAAATGGACAGATGTACTAGGTGCTGCAGGCAGTTCACAACCTGAATCTAAGATTTTAAAGCTGGGTGGTGACACCCACCTTTAATCTCAGCAGTTGGGAGGCAGAGGCAGGGGGATCTCTGAGTTTGAGGCCATCCTAGTGTACATTGCAAGTTTTAGGCCAATCAGGGCTATACAGTGAGACCCTGTCTCAAAAACGAAAACCAGATTTCAAATGCTATTAAAGACATAGGGTAAGTAAGTATTCAACCTCCCCAGAGCTGCAAGTCTTAATGTGTGCAGATGGAACAGGTAAAGAGGCAGAGATTAGTTTGTTCTGTGAACAGACTGGAGATGAGTAACAACCACATAAACTGATGCTAGTTATAAATTTATATGAATAATTAATACCTTGAGGTAGATTTCATCACTCAGCAGTAGTTACTATATGTTTCCCTCAGCAAAATGTGAGATCAGCAAAACTAACTGAAGTATTATTTTTCAAAAAGAAATGTAAATGATTATTTGGAATCGTGAGAAATTTTGTCATCTTATAACCTATTCTCTACAGCTGTCTTTGGCCTCACTTTCTAGGTCTCAACAGTTTGGCCTAGGGTTGTTTCTCAACATAGTCCTGCCTATCTGCTTTGTCTGTGACTGCTTTTCATTACCATGATAAATCTGAGCAAATGTAAACTGTTCAGTTTGCAAATCCAAAGTACTTGCTTTCTGGTCCTTTGTTGATCTACCCTTATACAAATGGGAGCATATTATATGCTCAGAGACAGAAATAGGTTTTATGGCCATCCATAAGGAATTTACTGATCATTGTTGGGTTTATGTGTTTTGTGTGTGTGTGTGTGTGTGTGTGTGTGTGTGTGTGTGTGTGTACACATGTGGAGGCAAAAAGCTGACACCAGGAGTCTTCCTCTCTGCAATCTACTTCATGTTTTGAGACAGGGTGTCTTATGCAACCTGAAGCTTACTGTTCTGACTTTTACACGGGTGCTGAGGGTCCAGGGCCAGCTCCTCATGCTTCATGGTAACCTTTTATCCACTGGGTCAGCTCTCTCGCCCCACTGTTGTTTTT